AAGGCAATTGCCCTACCTGCTGTACTATCTCTCCAGCCCTCAGGAACATGAAATTATTAAAGAATATCTAACTGCTTATGGTTGTTGAATATTTAATGTGTTAAATATAAGGCAATTGGAGATTATTCATATATCATCTAATGTGGTATTTATCTTTTTGAAACAAATTATTGATTACTTCTTTTGCTAATATGCCACTGGTATCAAGCAAATAGGAAACACCCAGTCAAATATAATATTATGACAAAGGTTTAACATTTATAATAAATGAAGAGCTCTGGTTAGTTAGAAAAATGAATTCACTTTTTTGTGGTACAGAAATTCCCTAGAAATCATTTCATCCAATCTCTCAGGTAAGGAAACAGGTTTTACTGATATCTTGTGTCATGTGAAATTCCAAGTCAGGAGAAGAGTATTGAGGACCTCATTTCTCCCACTCTAGGGCATTTCTTTGATAGATAAACCTATTTTTATTTAACATTATGGTCATCTGGATTATTTTAGAACCTCTAAATCTCAGAGCTATGTAAGATAAAACTCTCTTAATCGTTAGTCTCATAACCGATATAATTCTACTAACGCCAATGCTATTAATCATTTATGTGCATTTTTAATGGCCCACAAAGCAGAAACTCATTTTTTCCTACTTACCTCTTAAAACATCCTCATAAGTCTCTCAGGGAACTGAGATCTAGGAAAGGGAAACCGCTTGACCAAGGTAATTGAACCAGTCACACCAACCATCCTGTTATTACATTTTTGTCCTCATGACCCTGCAGAAAGATAATTTTAGCAGCAGGAAATATGAGATATGAGACTACTGGGATTTTGGCAATGTTTAAAATAGTAAACCTGCAATTGAAATTTGATAAACTAAAAATGGCCTGGTATTACCTATTTTTTTTTTATCACTTTACTAATCCTGAACGTAGCAACAAGATAAAACAGGTTTTACGGAAAAGCCTCCATTTGGTTTTTCTTAGTCAAGTACCAACTTATCTTTCCAGTCATGTCAGTCTTTTGAAACCCCCACACTTAAAACTGTACAAGCTAGCTTTGGGGGGCTAAAGCACACTGTATACTTTTTTGGCATCTGGGACTTTGCTCAGCCTGGAATGCCTTCTCTTTCTGTCCATTCACAGTGAATTTTGACTCAATTCCAAGGCCCAGTTGAATGTTTGCCTCCTTAGGGAAGGTTCCCTAATATCCTTGTTACAGAATATTAGGTCTTATTACAGGATATTGAGTCTCATTCTGCTCATATGCTTCTTTCATTTGAGCAGGTATCCACCTGTGTTTTATTGTTTCAAATTCCCAGTTGTCTGTGATTTAGAATCACAGTCTTAATACCTTTGATGATGGAAACTGGATACTAATTATCTTTTATCTAGGTTTCCAGTGTTCAGTTCAGACTCCACACAGTGAATATTCTTGGGTAGTAAGTGTTCTGGTGTAGAGTGTGGTATAGTAACATGATATGCCTAAAACATCAATATTAAAATAATGAAAAACATCAACAATAATTTCTAAAAATAATTGATTAAAAACTAGTAGTTGTGGGGCTGGAGTGATAGCACAGTGGGTAGGGCTTTTGCCTTGCACGCGGCCGAACCAGGTTCAATTCCCAGCATCCCATATGGTCCCCTGAGCACGGCCAGTAGTAATTCCTGAGTGAAGAGCCAGGAAAAGAGCCTGTGCATCGCCGGGTGTGACCCAAAAAGAAAATAAATAAATAAATATTAGTAGTTGTATTCTGTCCTAGATTAGAAGAACATATAAATAAATAATCATGTAGCACTGTCCTCCCATTGTTCATCGATTTTCTCGAGCGGGCCCAGTAACGTCTCCATTTTGAGACATGTTGAATAAATAATAAAAGTTGAGAATGTAAATGCAAAGAACTCGGTGGAGAAGTAATCTGAAGTTAGAACGAAGCATTTTGAAAAATTCTCAAACTTCAGAAGTGGGCACACAGAATAAGCAAACAAATAAAAACTTCCCTGAGTTGCAAATTCTAAAAATGGAGTTACTCCTGGGAAGGAAAATCATGCAGTGTGACTTCCTAAAAACTCTCCATTCCTGACCACGTTCCCAAATTGTGGGATATATAGTAGGATTCCATAAAGAGTATTAAGACAAGTAATGATCAGTAATAAAAGAACATGTGGGGTAATGAAGTGTGTGGGTATGAACGTATTTGTAGGGGTTAAGGTGCATAGGAGGGATTGGCCATATGCTTACTACACAGGCACTTACATAAAAGTATCAGACCTTCCATAGTAGCAATATAGGATACTTTCTTCTTAGCCACTACTCTGAACCACACTAGCCTCCAATATTTTCATTTTCATGCCTGGATAGGGTCAAGATTCACTGGAGCTTATTGCTAGGTTTGTTAATTCACAACCCAGATAGAAGATTTTGTGTAACATCATCTATGAAAGCTAGAGAAAATAATCAGAATCATTAATCTAGAGCATGGATGCCATAAAACTCTCCAAAGACCTTCGGTTACCTTCCTCCAACAACTCCTTCACTTTCAGACAATTTTAATTTTAGTAGGAAACTACTGAAACCTATGAGGAAAAAAGAATCTTGTCTAATGTACTATAGCAAAACAGTGCCACTTACCTTAGCGAAGTAAGAGATTTAATCTCTATCATTCAGTTCATTCAAAACTGGAATGTACTAAATTAGATGTCTAAAGAAGTCATGGAGTTGCTCTTTGGGTCAATGTTCCACAAAAGATTAAAATGGATGAAAAGTAATTAGATATTAGGTAAGTAGAATTAGCATCTTTCCCCCAACTTTTTCCTTATCTTTTAATGAACATCACAAATGATTACTCATATGAAGAAAACTTTCCAGATAGCCCAAAGAATAAGTTTGGATTTATACAATTCATACCTTTTCCCCTCTTGTCTCACCTGTTCTCCGGGAGACTTTTTCCATCTCTAATTATCTGATAATTTTCCTGGAGGACACTCTGATCTTGCATTTAGATCCCTAGGACAAGGTACAGAGGGTGCTGCCCAAGAGGTAGCAAATCCAGAGACATTTACTGGTTCCCTATGAAGACTGGAGAATCACTGGTAATATCAGCTGATGTAATTGCCAGAGATGTTTCTGAGTCACCTAGAGTATTTTATTATCATACAGCGGTAGGGAATTTGCCTTGCACGCAGCTGGCCCGGCCAAGCTGGGTTCAATTCCTCCTCCCCTCTTGGAGAGCCCAGCTACCGAGAGTATCTTGCCCGCTCTGCAAAGCCTGGCAAGCTACCCATGATGTATTCAGTATGCCAAACACAGTAACAAGTCTCAGGATCGAGACATTACTGGGCCTTCTCGAGCAAATCGATGAACAATGGGAGGACAGTGCTACAGTGCTACCAACCATGTGTTCATTTTGTCCCAAAGGTCAAAATAAGGTACTGAAAAATAGATAAATTAAAAACAACAAGATCTGGGAATTCTTGGGCTGAGTTTGATTTTCAATGCAAATTAGCACAACTCCTTACTAGAAATTGATTTTGCAATTTCAAGCAAGGGCAATAAAATGTTCATTTCCTTTGTTCTACTTAAATGCCACTCCCAGTACTCAAAACTGCTGTTAATAAGCCAAAAAGCCTAGAAAAGTTCATAGCACTAGCATTTTAATTGTATAGCTATTCTGATGACAACAGTTAAAAAGGCAACCTTAAGTCCTCCAGGTATAAAAGCTTATTATTGGTTCTTCTCTGCAGATATTGAGGATGTCTTTAAAGCCATGAAGATCTAAAGAAAAATGTGCTGTAATTATGGATGAGGAACCTAAGAATGCAAAGTTATGCTTTTTCTGGGCATCTGACATTAATTCTATTTTTGCTTTCTCGGAACAAGTCATTAATCTGTTGATATTCTTGGTACTGTCCATTTTTTATTCACTGATGCCTGATATAGGTTGTGGCTTATGTTGAGGGATGATGCTAACAAGATGAAGCAGAACTCACTAATCACAAGTTTTGGCAGTCTAGTGACAGAAATGAAAAAAAAGTGTAGTAGTTGTGTTAAGTGCTGTGACAAAAAGAATTATAAGGTGCTGAGAGTTTCCAGAGAGAAAAAAAAAATCTAACCAAGGAGATGCTCAGTTAGGAAGAAAGTATTCCTTGAGTTCATTAAGACAACATATGAATTCAAGCTCTATCTTCACAAGCACTTGATGTAATTGTGTTGCAGATGTAACTGTGCTTCCGTGGAAAGGGCTTCACATGAAATTGGAGGAGGGAACAACAACAACAACACTCTTGAGAACAAAGGCTTAAGAGAAGGCCACCTTGTACAGTTGGCCTAAGAAGGCAACAAAACATGGAAAAGCAATGGAATACAAAGGGAGACGGTGCTGGTGTGAAAGTTAAAATCTGAGCAGCGATTTTGAGCATCTGAGAAATGGCGTCAGCAGAAAGTACGACTGAGGCCACATCTATAGGGCCCCACAAAATGTCTTTACTACAGGGCAGTTTGAGACAAAATACCTTCCCTACCTCCTTCTCCAATAAAAGTCAGAGCCCTTCTCTTAAGCCATTGTCCACCAGATTGTTTTTTTTGTTGTTGTTGTTCCCTCCTACAGTTTCACGAGAAGCCCCTCCCACGGAAGCACAATTACATCTGCCACACAATTACATCTGGTACATCTGATACTTGTATTCTCTGGGTGTTTACATAAGCGGGGCTTAGGTCCGGGGAGCAATTTGGAACAAGGCTAAGCTGCTCAACGAGTGGCGAAATTTTTTAGTTTTATAATCGATAGGAAGCACCGAGAGGATTTTTGAACAACACCGGAACGCAGACTCAGGAGTGGGTGGTGGGCGGAGAGAGAAACAGGAACCAATTGGAATCCTTAGAATTAAGACCTTTTCCTGTTACTTCGTTTGTTACCCTAGCCAATGAGAACTGAGGTACTTGAAGCCCCGCCTCACGTGCGTCTGACCTTTGCGTGATATGCCCTCCCGAGTACTGTGCAAATGCGCGCCGAAGTATGGTCTTGGCGAATTAGGAGTTTTCGCGTTCACTGGAGCCCTACTTTGTCGCGAACTTGGGTGGATTAACTTTTCGATGGTACGATGTTGCGTATAGTGAGCTGGAATATCAACGGAATTCGGAGCCCTTTGCCAGGAGTTTTTAACGAGGATCCCGGCAACTGTACTACTATGGCTTTGGGACGCATATTGGATAAACTGGATGCTGATATAATTTGTCTCCAGGAAACCAGAGTGACCAGTGAGTACTCAAGAATACAGAATCTTATCCTGCTTGCCCCTTCCCGCCAACGTTTGCCCTCTTCCCTTTCTCATATCACGTTTCTATTTCTCTATTATTAGAGCCCTCTATTTTGATTCATTTATATCCTTCCGCTTAAGCCCCTATTTCTCACAACTAGATCTCCTCATTCTCACTTCATCTGTCCTTAGCGGAACAAGGTCAATTGTTTCCCCATTTGCAACTCCCATTCTCACTTAGATTCTCGAATTCCCACTCATTCTCCTTCCCCAAACTCAGTCCACCAAGTTCCACACCTCCTTAGTACATCTCATACCCAAGTCAAACCTCCAATTCTCCTTTCCTGTCCCCACCTCAGATTCACTGATTCTCTATTTTTGACCTCAGCTTGGACTCCATAATATGTTCCTTTCGTTCTCCTTGTTCTTTAACTGTACCCCATTTCCATGCTCACAATTTGTCATGGTTTCTGCCTCATGCCCCACCCCAAAATTAGAATCATTAATTCCTTCTTTCTTCCATCCATCTTCCAGTTTTAGCTTACTTTCCTGATTCTTTGCTCACCTCGCCACTTTTTGAGATGTCCTAACAATTTTTCCTCTCTCCTGTTCAGATCCTCAAATATCTTCTTTCCTAGATCATTAGCCCAGGCTCCCAGTTGTTGATTGTATATGACCATTTTCCAGCTCTAGTTCTCTTTTATTACTAGTCATCCAGCCCCCAGCCTCTTAATTATCTCCCCCACCTAGTTTTCCAATTCCCATTCCATAGTCTATTCCCCATTTCTAATATTAATCACATATCTTGTTTCCTCCTTTCTGATAACAGGTACTTTATTTTCCATACTAACTCTGGTTGTAATGTATGCAAAGAATTAGTATATAACAGTAATTCCAGGGTTTTGTGTGTCCTGGGTCCTGGCCTGGTTTTATCTTTGACAATCTTGCATCTTTCTTTCAGGGGATGCGCTGACAGAGCCCTTGGCAATCATTGAAGGTTATAACTCTTATTTCAGCTTCAGCCGCAACAGAAGTGGCTATTCTGGTAAATGGGCTTTGGGGGGATTTCAAATTAGTTACAGCATCAGTTAATGCAGAAACAATTTCTAATATTTGATAGAAAGGTAACAAACTTAGAACTTTATTGAACTAAAGCCATATAAAATCATGTGAAGGATAATTTTATATATATATATATATTTATCCTGTTGGACCTCAGATCACAGTAGTGTGGTGATTTTTTGTATGATCTCTGGAACCAGACTGCATGAGTTTGAACCCTAGCTTACTTTCTAGCGGTGACCCTCTGGCAAGTTACTCTTTATGCGTCAGATTCTTCAGCTGGAAAATGTGTATGATGCCCCTTCCTGGGATTAATATTTAATTAATCTATGTGATGGAAATAATAATAGGTAATACTTTTGACCACATACTATATAGAAATTAGAATTTCAGAAGTTACTCTAATATTTTTAGATAAAGGAACCAAAACTCCAGTTTTTGAGTCTCAGTTTGAGTAGATTCGGGAGAGTAGAATCACACTTGATGACTCCTGTGACCTGTGTGTGATTAACAGTCAGGCCTACTCAGTACTGTATCTATCTCTAGGTGTAGCCACCTTCTGTAAGGACAGTGCTACCCCTGTGGCTGCTGAAGAAGGCCTGAGTGGCTTACTTGCCAGCCAGAGTGAGAATGTGGGTTGCTATGGAAACATGGATGCATTCACTGAAGAGGAGCTTCGAGACCTGGATAGCGAAGGTCGGGCCCTCCTTACACAGCACAAGATTCGGTAATGGTCCCCATTCTCCTGTCATTGTGAGTGTGATAATTCTAAGGGTTGCCCTATAAGCACACATTTATTATGAACAAGTTTCTAAATTTGTCTTTCCTGAACTCTGGTCCAATATAACCCTTGCCAATTCATGTTCCCCAGGAACGTTAAATTTTCCATCTCTACAGTGGGGAGAGGGAGAAGGGTTACCTGGAAATGCAGCTCTCTTATTACCAATGGAACCTCAAAAATAGCTTAGGTAGTGCTAAACTCACTGTTTTAAGTTTTGTTTTAGTGTCTTGTCTTTAAAAATGAAAACATCATCATCTGGATAACTTAAATTGATCATCTAGAATGCCTTTTCTTCTTCCTCAGCTATATTCAGTCTTCAGTCCTATGCATGCCATCTCATTCATATTTTGCTCTTTTATTCCCCAGATTACCATTGATTGGAAGCTACAGAGTTTTAAGAAGGGAAGTAGTTGGATGCTTGAAAATGACCCCTGGGTTTTTTTCTCTGCAGCACACAGGAAGGAAAGGAAAAGACCTTGATCTTAATCAATGTGTACTGCCCTCATGCAGACCCTGGGAAACCTGAACGCCTGGCCTTTAAGATACGCTTCTATCACTTACTACAGATCCGAGCAGAAGCCCTCCTGGCAGCTGGCAGGTACTATAAACCACAGCAGCAAGAATTCCTTGAGCTGGTTCCGGATGTCCAGTGTTGTCTAAAGCTCCATTAAAAAATGATATGGGATCTTTTGCTTTTGACTTTTTGGTTGGTGACATTAGCATGCTCACCAGAATAAACCCAGTTTTCTATGAGCTGTGAAGACTCAGTGTTGTAACATTAGAGGTTTTGTACTCAGGCACCTTTTTCACTCATTATGATCCTCAGTGCATGCCTATGTTTTCTTTTGTCAAACAAGTATGTCAATTCCTACCTCAGAATGTTTTTTTTTAAATATTTGGACCACACCCAGCAGTGCTCAGGGTTTATCCCTGACTCAGCCCTAAGGTTTCAATCCTGTCAGGGCTCAAGGGCCTTATAGGGTACCAGCGATTGAACTTTGGTTGGTCATATGCAGGGCAAGTGCCCTACTTACTGTACTATCTCTCCTGAAATTGGGTTGGCTGGGTATAAAAGGCAGCATGGTTGTGATAAAACTAGAGAGACAATCTGCTATGTTGGTTCCCATCTTGGCTTCACTGTGGAAGATAGCCTGAATTGCAGTAGTGTATCGCCCAGGACTTGAATTTTCTTTCTTGAATTGAGTTGATGACTCCATATCATGTTTTACAGCCACGTGATTATTTTGGGTGACCTGAATACAGCCCATCGTTCCATTGACCACTGGGATTCAGGTAACCTGGTAAGATTCCTTCTAGGCTCCTGACATCACTCTTAATTGTTACTCTGTTTAACCAGCTGATCAGTGCTAAATTTTGGGGTCAGGGTAACTTCTTTCATGGAAGGCAGAATTTGATTTACTATTCTCAGAGTACAAGGATTGTTTATTTGTCGAGACATTATTGACCTTGCCCTTTGCCTAGCCCTAAGTCATGTGGGGACTCAGTTACTAGTCATATCGAACTCTTACCCTCTCAGAGCATGTGGGACAATTAAGGTGGTAATCGGCTATAAGTACATAACCCACTTTTTGAGGTTCTAGTGACGAGAATGGTGTTTTCAGTAGTGATATTGATATGGTTGCTTAGGGGACTAGTGAAACCCAGAAATGGGATTCCTCTATCAGAGTGGACATCAGGCAAGCACTGTCTGAAAAGATTGTGTCTTAAAAGCTAAGTAAAATAGTGCTTTGGAGTAGGGGAAGCTAAATATTCTAGCATGAACAAAGGCTGCAGAGGGATTATTTACCTAGCATGTATGGGGAACTGCAATTCCTGTAGTTTTAAGAGATGATATGGGAAGGAAGTTGACTGCCAGGAAATAGGGCTCTGGAGCCTATATAGGAGTCAGGTTTTGAGAGCCTTGAACTCCATACTGTCTTGATAATTTCTCTAAGTTACTCTGTTCCCTTTATTTTTCCTTTTCTTGGGGTCATATCCAGGTGTACTTAGGACTACTCTTGGTTCTGTGCTCATGGGTCATTCCTGGTGGTACTTGGGTTGGTTACATGCAAGACAGGAACCTTAATCCCTTGCTGTCTCTCTTATCCTCTATACTTCTTGCTTTGAATTGAACAAACCCTGTTTGTTCTGTGATGCAGAAAGAACATCTAAGTCTAGATTTCTAAGTTCTTTCTGGTCTTTCTCCTGCTTCCATTTCTGTACTTTTGTGTACTTTTTCTACTACTAGATTGCCCCCTCTCTGCCCATTGCAAAAGCTATTCTCATTTTAGTTTTTCTCAGTGCCCTGAATTGAGGGATGCCCCATCCTTCTGTCTCTGAATGAGCCTTTCATTTCTCACTCCCTCTATGCCAGTTTTTCTCAATTTCTGACAGATTATTAGAACAGGGACTTTTTACGGTCACGGTCATGGTCCTCCCGTTGTTCATCGATTTGCTCGAGCGGGCCTAGTAATATCTCCATTGTGAGACTTGTTACTGTGTTTGGCATATTGAATATGTCATGGGTAGCTTGCCAGGCTCTGTTGGCAGGGACTTTTTACAATGATATTAATACTTTGGAGATACAGCAAACCAGTTAAAATCAGAATTTGATGTAAGTGGTACCAGGGTAGCAGTATGTTATAAAAATTACTGTACTGATTTTATTGTACAGGTTTGAGAGATACTGACTTATTTTCTAAAAGCTAGTTCTTGGTTTGTCACATGAGGGCAAAGATCATTAAACTACATTTGCATAATTCAGCTTAGCTCTGGACTTAACATAAGGAAGGAGTTATAAGAGTATTTCTCAGGACTGGAGTGGTAACACAGGGAGTAGGGCGTTTACCTTGCATGCGGCCGGCCTGGGTTTGATTCCCAGCATCCCATATGATCCCCTGAGCACCACTAGGAGTAATTCCTGAGTACAGAGCCAGGAGTAACCCCTGTGCATTGCCGGGTATGACCCAAAAGCAAATATATATATGTGTGTGTGTGTGTGTGTGTGTGTGTGTATGGGTGTATATATATTTCTCAATTAGTTTGCTGATGAGCCATATAAATAGAAATGTGACTTCCAGCTAGGAAAATAAGAATAATAAAACTATGGAATGCTAATAGTGGTATGGGAAGGGATACATACTTCTAAGTATGAGGCCTTTTGCATATTTTCTTGTACTCATTTACTTTTTTTTTGCATTTTGGGATACACACTCAGTAAGCCCTGAGTAGTGCTCAGGGCTTACTTCTGGCTCTGTGCTCAGGCTCTGTGGTGCTTGGGTACCATATGCAGTGCCAGAGATGGGAAACATAGCTAGCTGTGTTCAAGGCAAGCTTATTAACTTATGCATTCTTTCTCAAGCCGTCTCTCTCTTTTTGTTTTTTGGGTCAAACTGGCAGTGCCCAGGCTTACTCCTGTCTCTCCTTAGGGATTGCTCCTGTCGTTACTCAGAGACTATGCAGAGTGTCGGGGATTGAACCTGGCTTCATTGATTCCATGGCAAATGCCTTACCCACTGAATTATCTTTCTATCCTTCACTTCATATTTTATGCTTCCTGTGATAGTGTTAATATATGCCATCTCTCCTTATTTTAGAACCATGTTCGTTCTCAGCATCTCCTATATTTTTATTCCAGAAAAATAATTAATAGACAGTAATTAAGTGACATTTTCAGTTTTAATATCCTGCAAATGAATGTGATCATTCTCTGTCTGTCCCTCGCCCCCTGACTAATTTCATTCAACATGATACTCTCCATGTCCATCCATGAACACTGTCCTTCCATTGTACATCGATTTGCTCGAGCAGGCCCAGTAACGTCTCCATTTTTTTGAGACTTGTTGTTACTGTTTTTGGCATTTTGAATACGTCACGGGTAGCTTGCCAGGCTTTGCGATGCGGGTGAGATACTCTCAGTAGCTTGCTGGTCTCTCCAAGAGGGGTGGAGGAATTGAACCTGGCTCAGCTTGGCTGGCTGCACGCAAGGCAAATGCCCTACTGCTGTGCTATCGCTCCAGCCCTGTATAAGCAAATTTCATCACTTCATTTTCCCTAATTGCTACGTAGGATTTTATTATGTAGATATACCATAGTCTCTTTATCCACTTATCTATTCTCAGGCACTTGGGTTGTTTCCAGGTTCTGGTTATTGTGAATAGTGCTGCAGTAAACTTAGGAGTGCAGAAGACTTCTGCATTGTGTTTTTGGAACCCTAGGGTATGTTCGCAGAGTGGTATTGCTGGGTAGCATGGAAGTACAATTTCTAGTTTTTTGAGGAATGCGCATATTGTTTTCCAGAAGTCTGGATCAGTGGGCATTCCCACCAGCAGTGAATGAGAAGACTCACTTTTTAGTCTTTTGATTTCACTGAAGTGACACCCCGTGGTTGTTCTAACCAGAAAACCTTGTTCTATTAGTATTGTTCTTTGCCTCTTGTTCCCACATATAATTTATTAGCAAGTAGTATTGAGTCTGGTTCCAAACCAACCTTTAATTTCAGTTTTCTCTGTTTTTTTCTTAAATCATCCTAGTTTAAGCATTAATCATGTTTAATTTGTTTTCCCTTCAAGTACTAAGTTTTTATATATGCTCCCGTAGTAGGTTTGCAGTAGAGACTGTTCTTTCAGTTTTAGCATATATTGGTTTATTTTTGCTGAACCTTAACATTTCAGCTTTATACCTCTTCTTGTGATCAAGGACATCTAGCATGGAATCATATTCCTGCTTTGCCCCGAGCATAATTCCTAACATGCTTTTCTTTGAGCATTTGTTATGCTGAATGCACAGTTAAGTAGAGTGGATAGGTAGATAATGACAAAGTATTTTTTATTTTTATTAAATAACTGTGAATTGCAAAGTTATTAATTGTTGGATTTTAGGCATATAATATTTCTACACAAATCCCACCACAAGTGTCAACTTCCCTTCACCAGCATTCCCATAGTCCCTCCCCACTCCTGGATCCTCGCCCATCCCCTTCTGTTAACTTGACAGGCGCATTACAAAGTTTCAGTGGTTGCATTTTAGAGCTCATGTTTTCAGTGTTGTTGACTCTGTTTTGGATATGTGGCCCTAGTACTCTCTCATATCACCAGTATAACTGAAGTCCTGATGCCTGTCCACCCATTACCTCTTGTTCTCTTCTGTTACCATCTCTTGATTTCTTCCTATCTCTGCCCTTCTCTGTAAATACTGGGGTGAAGGGTGATCTAGGCACTCCCCTTATACTACAATATATTTCCTCATCTAGTATTCTATATTCCATACATAGGTGAGATCAATCAACCTGTGTTTGTCTTCTTTTGGCTTACTTTACTCAACATAATATCTTCCAGTTCCAGCCACGTTGCAGCAAATTGCATGATTACATTGTTCCTTGCAGCTGCATAGTATTTCATTTTCTAGATGTACCAATCTTCATAATCCATTCATCTGTCGTTGGATATCTAGATTGATTCCATATTTTAGCTATTATACTGAGTGCAACAATGAATAATGATATGCATATGTCCTTTTTAGAAAGTGTTTTCATGTCCTGGGGGTAGAGGTCCCAAAGAGGGTCATATGGCAACTCAATTTTAAGTTTACTTGGAACTCTCCATACTGTTTTCCGCAAAGGTTGTACCACACAACATTCCCACCAGCAGTGGATGAGAGTTCCTTTTATATCACATCCCGGCCAATGCAGATTTTTCCTACTATTTTTGATATGGTATCTCATTGTCATCTTCCTTTGGAATTCTCTTATAATAGTGGTACTGACCATTTTGTTATGTGCCTACTGGCCATCTAGCTATCTTCCTCTGAGAAGTTCCTGTTCCTTTCTTCCCATTTTTGATAAGGTACTTGAATTTTTTTGTTGATCTCTGTGAGCACTTTATATATCCTGCATAGCAAACCTTTATCTGATGTTTTGAATGAAAATATTTTTACAATTCAGTTAGCTGTCGTTCAGTTTTAGCCCGTATTTCTTTTGCCATGCAAAAGTTCTTCAATTTTATGTTTATTTTTGCTTATTTTTTATTTTGTTGCTTTTGCAAGGGTCTGGAGCGATAGCACAGCAGGTAGGCGTTCGCCTTGCACACAGTCAACATGGCCAACCCGAGTTCGATTCCTCTGCCTCTGTCGGAGAGCCCGGCAAGCTACCGAGAGTATCTTGTCCAAACGGCAAAGCCCTGGCAAGCTACCCGTGATGTATTCAATATGCCAAACACAGTAACAGGTCTCACAATGTTACTGGGCTCGCTCAAGCAAATCGATGAACAACGGGAGGACAGTGACAGTGACAGTGCTTTTGCTAGGGGCATTATTTAAGATGTCTTTGAGGTACATATCTTGAAGTGTTCTGCCTATATTTTTCTTAATGTACTTTATATTTTCTGGTTGAATCTCAGGGTCTTTGATCCACTTTGAATTGACTTTTGTGTCAGGTGAAAGGTATAGATTCAGCTTTAATTCTTACACATAGTTAGCCAGATTTCCTAGTACCATTTGTGAAGAGGCTATCTTTACTGCATTTCATGTTCTCAGTTTTCTTATCAAAAATAAACTGTCAAAATACAGGATTTTGTCATTGAATATTTGATTCTTAACTGTGATCACAGGACCAATTACAGTACCATGCAGTTTTGATCACTATAGCTTCAAAATACAGTTTCAAATTAGGTAATAAAATACCTCCCATTTTTAAAATTTTTCAATATAGTTTTTTTCATTAGTGAAACACCATGAGGTACAGTTATAGACTTACAAATTTTTGTTCTTGGGCTTCAGTTATACAATGATCAAGTACCCATCCCTCCACCAGCGCCCATCCTCCACCACCACGGGTCTCAGCATCCCTCCCACCCCCCACCCCCCTGTCCCACCCTGCCTCTGTGGCAGGGGATTCCCCCTTGTTCTCTCTTTTTTTGGGTCCTGTGTTTTGCAAGAGAGGCATTGAGTGGCAATCATGTTTGGTCAATAGTCTACTTTCAGCATGCTTCTCCCAACCTGGGAGGATCCTCACAACACCCTTTATTTGGTGCTCTCTTCTCTCTCTGAGCTTCCTTTTCCCCTAGAATGTGTGGCTGGCCTCCAAGTCATGGAGCAAAATTCCTGGTACTATTCTCAGCCACTCCTGGGAGTTAGTCTCTCATTTTGTTGCTTTATGTTCCCCAGATGAATGCAATCTTTCTGTGTCTATCCCGCTCTTTCTGACTCATTTCGTTTAACATGATACTTTCCATGTAGTACGACTTGTATGTAAATTTCATGACTTCATCTTTTCTAACAGCTACATAGTACTCCATTGTGTAAATGTACCAAAGTGGGCGTGGCTTCTGTAGAAGTGGGCGTGGCTCAATATAATTTTGGCTATTTGTGTGCTTTTCCGATTCCAAACACATGACTTTTCTAAATCCTGGAATCCTGATATCTGAATTTGGATGGGGATTGCATTGACTCTATATAATAGCTTAGCTAGGATAGTCATTTTAATAATATTGAATCTATCGATCCATGAGCATGGGATATTTTTCCATGACCTAAAGTCTTCTATCTCTTTTTTAAAGAGATTTAAAGTTATCATGGTATAGATCTTCCATGTCTTTTGTTATGGTGATTCCTAGATACTTGGTGTCTTTGGTACTAACTGGAATAGATTCCTTGATTGCTTTTTTCCCTGACTCATTCTTTGTATATAAGAATGCCACCAATTTTTGTGTATTGACTTTGAAACCGGCCACTTTGCTATATTGGTTTATTTCTTCTAGATGCTTTTCTGTGGATTCTTTAGGATTTTATGTATATAGTCATGTCATCTGCATAGAGCAATAATATGAGTTCTTCTTTTCCAATTTGGACCCCTTTGGTTTGGTTTTCTTGCCTGGTTGTTGTACCCAGAACTTCTAATACTATGTTGGATAGAAGTGGACAAAGTAGACATCCTTGTCTTGGACCTGATCCTAGAGAGATTTCTTTCATTTTTTTTTCCATTAAGGATGATACATCATGTTAAGTGAAATGAGTCAGAAAGAGAGGCACAGACATGGAAAGATTGCACTCATTTGTGGAATATAAAGTAACAGCAAGAAAGACTAACACCCAAGAATAGTAGAGATAAGCACCAGGAGCATTGCTCCATGGTTTGGTAGCTGGCCTCACACGCTGGGGGATAGATAAATAAGGGACCACCAAGTAAAGGGTGCTTGGAGGGCCCTCTCAGAGTGGGATTTGCATTCTGAAAGTATATAGACCAAACACGATGACCACTCGATACCTCTGTTGTAAACCACAACCCCCAAAATGAGAGAGTTATGCCCTGCCACAGAAGCGGGGCAGGGTGGGAGGGATGAGGTGGGAGTGGGGGAGGCACACTGGGATTGTTGGTGGAGAATGAGCACTGGTGGAGGGATGGGTACTGAACATTGTATGACTGAAACGTAACCACAAAAGTTTGTAAGTCTGTAACTGTACCTCAAGGGGATCCATTACAATAAATAAATAAGAAAAAAAGGATATTGGCTGTGGACTTGTTATAGGTGGCCATTATTATCTTGAGGAATTTTCCTTCTATTCTTATTTTTGAAGGTTTTTATCATGAATGGATGTTGGATCTTGTTAAAGGCTTTTCTGCACCAATTGATATGATATATAATTTTTATCTTTTATTACTGTTGTGTTACTATGTTTGGCATATTGAATACGTCACAGGTAGCTTGCCAGGCTTTGCCGTGCGGGCGAGATAATCTCAGTAGCTTGCCAGGCTGGGACCGCTCGAACAAATTGATGAACAACGGGAGGACAGTGCTACAGTGCTATTACTGTTGTGTATTACATATGATGACCCATCTTTCTATCCCTAGGATGAATCCCACTTGATCAGGAAGTATTATTTTTTGGATTGGGTTAGTTAAGATTTTGTTAAGGATTTTTACATTGATTTTTTTTCCCTTAAATTTTTATTAGTGAAACACCATGAGGTACAGTTGTAGACTTACCAATTTTTGTGCTTGAGTTTCAATTATACAATGATCAAGTACCCATCCCTCCACCAGTGCCCATTCTCCACCACCACCAGTCCCAGTATCCCTCCCACCCCCTTTCCCCCCATCCCACCCTACCACTGTGGCAGGGCATTCCCTTTTGTTATCTTTCTCCTTTTGAGTGCTGTGGTTTGCAAAAGAGACATTGCAGCACTGTTTACAATAGCTAGAATCTGGAAAAAACCCGAGTGCCCAAGAACAGGTGACTGGCTAAAGAAGCTTTGGTACATCTACACAATGGAATACTATGTAGCTGTCAGAAAGGATGAAGTCATGAAATTTACATACAAGTGGTACTACATGGAAAGTATCATGCTAAGTGAGATGAGTCAGAAAGAGAGGGATAGACATAAAGATTGCATTCATCTGGGGAACATAAAGTAACAAAATAAGAGACTAACACCCAAGAATAGCCGAGATAAGTACCAGGAGGATTACTCCATGGCTTTGAGGACAGCTGCACACGCTAGGGGAAAATAAAGGGTGTTGGGAGGTTCCTCTCAGGATGGGAAATGCATGATGAGAGTAGACTATAGTCCGAACAAGTTTACATTGATTTTGATCGGGGAAATTGATCAGATATTTTCTTTTCTCGAAGTGCCTCTGTCTGCTTTGGGTTTTAGTGTAATGTTAGCTTCATAGAAGGTGCTAGGAAGGATTCTTTTGTCTTTTATTTTGTAACAGTGTAAATTGTATAGGCATAAATCTTCTTTGAAGCTTTGATAGAACTCACCAGTAAATCCATCTGGACTAGTAATTTTATTCTTAGGGAGATTCTTAAATACTGTTTCAATTTTCTCATTTTTAATTGGCCTTTTTGGGCTTTCTACGTCCTCATTGTTCAGATTTGGAAGATTATATTACCCTAAGAATCCATCCATTTCTTCTAGGTTCTCCAACTTAAGAGCATAAAGTTGTTCATACTAACCTCTCATTCTATTTCGAATTTCTGAAGGATCCATTGTAAGTTCTCCCAATTTATTTCTATTTTGATTTATTTGAACATTTTCTCTTTTTTTGTGAGTCTAGCTAAAGATTCATCTATCTTGTTTATTTTTTCAAAGAACCAGGTCCTGGTTTCATTGATTCTTATTATTGCATTTTTGGTTTCTGTGTTATTGATTTATGCTCTGTTTTCTATTATTTACCCCTTTATTCTACTTTGTAGATTTGTTTTTCTTTCTCCAGATTTTTGAGATGCGTGTTTAGGTTGTTGATATGGACTTTTTCTTTCTTATTATAGGCCTGTATTGCTAATTTCACATCAGCTTTCTGTGTCCTTAGGGGAGTCACATGGGTTTGAGAGGGGTTTGGGAAGGGCTTCCTCAGTCCAGGGTAGGTCACAGGCACCACAGTAGTTATGGGGCTGGTTGGGAGATGGAGCCCTTGATGCATGAGGATAATGAACTAGCTGGGTGTGACAAAGTATTTTGTGTTTTATTTCTGTTTTTGTTTTGGGGGCAATCCCTGGTTCTCTGGATTTACTCGGGGTTCTGTACTTAGGGATCACTCCTGGCAGTGATTGAGACGCTACATGTGGTGCCAGTAATCAAATCCTGGTCAGCTGCATGCAAGGCAACTGCAGTACCCAGTATATTATCTGGTCCCGAAGACTGGATCCCTTTACTTAGGAGAGTAGTATGGTTGGTTTGTAAGAACTCTGACACATACAACATAAACCAAATCATGTTAGATAGTTTAAATGAAAAAGGCAGTGGTCTCTAACTGCCCATACCTACTTATTAGAGGCAAACATTTAATTTTCCATATTTCATTCCTTTGTAATGATAAGCAATTCTGAGAATCGCTATGATTAAGCAAATAACAAGCTTTCATACTTAGCATTTATGGACCAGTGCAGAGTATATATAGCCTGATGCAGCGTGAACAAGGAAAGACTTTTACATTAGAATGGAAATTCTAGGTTTGCCATGTGTTTATTGAGCAGTAGACTTCTTTGATGCAGCCACATTTTTTTGTCTGTAAAATGAAGCACTTAATTTGAGTACCTTCCAGTTCTATCTTGTATTTCTGCCTCTCACTTCATTTCCTTCCTCCTCCAGGAATGCTTTGAAGAGGATCCAGGGCGCAAATGGATGAATAAGTTGCTCAGTACCCTAGGGTGCCAGTCTGGGTCCCACCGCATAGGGCTTTTCATTGATAGCTACCGTTACTTCCAGCCAGAGCAAGAGGGTGCTTTTACCTGCTGGTCAACCATCACTGGCGCCCGACATTTCAACTATGGCTCCCGGCTTGACTATGTACTGGGGGACAGGAACTTGGTGATAGACACTTTCAAGGATTCATTCCTGCTGCCTGAGGTTATGGGCTCTGACCACTGCCCTGTAGGTGCGGTCATGAGTGTATCCCCTGTGCCTGCAAAACAGTGCCCATCTCTTTGTACCTGTTTCCTTCCTGAATTTGCAGGTACCCAGCTCAAGATCCTTAACTTTCTTGTTCGTCTGGATCAAGATCCTGTGTTTAAGCAGTCGATGCTGCCACTCTTCAATCAAACACAGACAAAGACACACCAAAGTAAAGCTCGTGTGCGATTAACCAGGCCTCGACAAAGTCAGGTTGACTCCAGCAAAGGCCAGAAAAACTTGAAGAGCTATTTTCTGCCATCTTCTCGCTGTTCCCAAGCTTCTCCTAACTTGGAACTTCCTTCCTTGAGTTCCTTTGTGACTCCAAAGATGCAGAAAGAGGCGATGATGGACAAAGTTGGGGAGGGACAGACCAAGGTATCAGATTCAAAGAACAAGGATGAGAAGGAGTTACAGATCTCATTCTGGAAATCTGTTCTTGGGGGGCCCTTGCCCATGCCCCTCTGTGGGGGTCACAAGGAGCCATGTGTGAGGAGAATTGTGAAGAAACCAGGACCAAATTTGGGTCGCCACTTCTACATTTGTGCTAGGCCCCAGGGTCCTCCCACTGACCCCTCCTCCCGTTGCAACTTCTTTCTCTGGAGTAGGCCTACCTAAACCAACCTAAGCCTAAGGATGTCTTGTATGGTCAACTCTGTACATGATCTGAGGCCTGCTTCTTCCTAGGTTGCATTACCTTCCACCAAGGCCTCTTTCCCTTACACCTTCCTCAAGCATCCTTACTTTTCCCTTTATCTTCTTCCTCCAGCACCTCTCTTCCTCTCCCTTTTACTTGTTTCTTCACTGGTGAACTTCTTAAACCTTAATGCTGTGACCCAGTTCCCCACCTTCTCACCTTGTTAGCAGTGTACAGCAACCATTCACTAGGAGGTTGTGATTTTTAAACCCTTTCCTTCCTGGCTGGAAATGTATTTATGCCAAAATAAAGTTTATGTATTATCTGTGCTACAGATGACACTCATGGTTTACTCCTGACTCTGCTCAGGGATCACTCCTGGATATCTTCAGGAGACCACATGCAGACCACATACATGCAGGGAATCAAACCTGGGTCAGCTGCATGTAATGCAAGTGACTTAACCTGTACGATCACTCTAGCCCACATGTATTTGTCTTTTTAGTTTGTTTTGTGTGGATATCTTGGATTTATGAGTTAAGTGTTCAATTGAGTTAAATCTCTATACCATGTTAAGATTAGACTGTATCTTGATTAAACCTGTAGAGAAAGGGAAGGAAGAGTGCTCATCACAAAGAATTCTGAATTTTAGAGGTGCCTGCACTATTGACGGTGGTGGATATAGGACAGAATATACAGTATATTTCAGTATATATAGCTCACATGTACTTTGTCTTAAACTAGTTATTCCCAAGTGCTATGGCCTGTAGTTTCCACAAATGGATTACAGGGTAGAAAGAAATCAGCCTCTCCAGTTATAGAATGGCCAGGCAAGGCCAGGAATTATGCTTAAGGAAAGAGTACATTCTAAGCAGGTAGTATATTTACCAAAGTGTGCTATTCAAGTGTTTTTTGTGTGGTGGGACTTGAAAAGCTTGGAAGCAGTGTCTTAAGTTGTTATGGGGCTTTTGAAGTAGTACAGTGGTTAGGGTGTTTTGCATGTGACCAACCTGGGTTCGATCCCTGGCCCTTATACAGTCCCCTAAGCCCCAGCAGGAGTAATCCTAGAATACTGTCATGTATTGCCCCAAAAGCAAAAATATAGAGCCAAGCTGTCTCCTGTTTATAGAAAGGGGAGCTGGTAAATTCTGTTTTGTAAAGTGCTGTGGAAGGAAATGTAATGAATGGACTGAGGGGGAAGACATTCCCTTTGCTGGAAAATACCTCCAAATTTTGGAGAAGCACTCCTACAGTCATTTTGACTAAAGACCTAAAGACTGCTTATGGCTTCAAAGTCTACTCTGGGACCTTGGTTTCCATGTCTTCCAATGAAGAGTAAGTTCCTGGATTTTTGTTGAAAATCATTTTCAAACAAAACTACTAAGCATCCAGATTCTTTGTACAAATCGCAGAAGTGTTTGACTGTCTTTTTTTGGATCTTTTTCTGGACAGTGACACCATACAGTCTAATCACTGTTGTGACCTGGGAGCCTAGAGTGAAAGGTGGAGGGTTAGTTGTGGTGGGGTATTGGACCTTTGATACTAGAGTGGGTGGGAACCAATATTTTCACTATTGACAAAATTCTGAACCAACAAGTGACCTATATTTTTTTCACAGCCAGTTTTCTGAGAGAGTCATGTACAGGTACAGTGCAGCTGTTTGTTTCTGTTCAACAAAAGGCTACAAATGTTGCAATTTGCTCTTTATTTTCAGATTCAAATCAACTAGAAGGTCAACAAAGCAGAGAACAGAAGATGTAGCCTCAAGTACAGGTGCAGTGGGATCTGAGGCAGCTGGCTTCTCAAGCATAGGTTGTAACATACTGGGGTCCCATGTTTCCGAAGTAGGAACGTTCCCATTCACTCATGAGCTCGAAGTGCACAGGACGGTGACAAAAGTTGCAGGCAGCCACAGACACATCCTGGAGTGGCAGCCCCACTTCAGACCAGGTTATCAGTAGTTTCTCTGAAGGTGGTTAGGGAGAGAAGGGAATGAACTGTTAGATTATATTCTTTTAATCACTGTATCAGGATAGAATCTACCATGAAATTTACCCCTTCACCTCTTCAAAATGTCTCAGAACTGGAGATATTGTATGCTGTGACTATTGTTTATATATGGGAACTATGATGGAAAGGACTAGTTTGATTTAATTTGTAACTGTGCTGGCCACTCCTAAGTTTGACAACTCCTAAATTTAAGATGCTCTATAACCAAAAAGTTAATTCATCTACTTTCAAACTCCTAGTTTAGCAAGGAAAAAGAAACCACACAGTCTAATCACTGTCATGACCTGGGAGCCTCGAGTGAAAGGTGGGGGTTTACATGGGGTGGGGGATTTGACCTCTGATACTAAAGTGGGTGGAAATCAGAGGAGAGAATATGATGCTACTGTTTAAAGTACTTAAGTTTGTATGCCAGGGCTATCTCTCTTTTTTAATGCATACTCTCTTGGTGAGCTTATCTTTTTTAACACCATTTGTATGCTGATAATTATGAGATTTTTTAAAATCTCAATCCTAATCCTCTCCCCTGATTTACAGACTTGTATATTCAATTCTTTCTATTTCTCCACCTGGAAATTTAACTGACATCTCTAATTTTACATAAACAACATCCATGTGAACAACAACTGATATTCTTAATCTTTAAATCTATTCTTTCCGCCACTCCCTTCTCAGTTGATGGCAATCCCAGTTACAAAAATTTCAGAGCTATCCTTTGTTTTCTTCTGCCATATCCAATTCACCAGTTTGTAGCAATGGCTCTTCCTTCAAAATGAAAATCTGACCAGTTACTATGATGTTACCAAGTCTGTGCTAACCTATAGTATTGTAATTCCTTAGTGAATCTCTATGCTTCCACTCTTTCTTTCATTCTATTTTCAACATAGAAATTAGAATGGTTCTATTAAACCTGAAATACTCAACTGCTCAAATCCTTTAATATATTGGTTCTCTTCTCCATTGTTGGATATTGTCAGCCATTTAATTCTTATCCTACATAGATTGCCTCTGGGTCTGTACATTGCCTCTCTTCTCTTTTTTCTACTCATTCACCACTCATTCTTCAAATACAAAATGAATACTCCTATGCTAGAGTCTTTTCTGCCTTAAACTATTCCCTCTTTCTGGGATGACGTTCCCTTACATGTCTAACTTTACTTCCTTAATATCTTTCCCCAACTGTTATTTTAATACTCTCTACTCTAATTCTAATATTCTAGTAATTTCAAACTAGTCTGTTCTGCTTCACCTCCAGTGCTTACTCTTTCCTTGTCTACTTTCCCCCTATAGCACTTGGATCTACGTACCAAGCTATATAATTTGTTTTTTAAAAATTTTTAAAAACTATATTATTCTACTAGAATGTAAACTCCAAAAAGATGTGTATTTTGTGTTTTATTTACTACTAGATTGTGGTGTTTTAGATACAGCTCTTAGGATGGTGTATAATACACAGGAGGAATTAATAAATATTTGTTGAAAGAATAAATGAAAAGATGTCTTTAATTCTGGAAGATAAAAGGAAGTAGTCTAGAAGATAGGATAAGGTAGGGCATTCCAATCAAAAGAGAGACATCAGTAAAGCCCAGAGTTAAGAAAGATGCTTAAGTAAATTACTGGAACTATAAGTAATTTACTGTAGAAATAAAATTAAGGTGGTAAAGAGGTAAGGATATAGATATCACCATGTTGAAAGTGAATGTTATGAAGGAATGTCACAGGCCAATAATCTCAAAGGTTTTGGACTCTTTATCCTATCAGTACAAATGTTTCAATATGTATCTTGCTTTAAATACCACAAAAACATCATTGTCAATTTATAGATTAAAGATCAACATGAGTAATACTCCATTTTAGTTAAAAATTAAATATAGGGGCTGAAAATGTAAGGTAGGGGTTAAAGCACTTGCATGTATCCTACCCGGGTTTGATCCCTGACACCGCATGGTCCCTGCAAACACTGCCAGAAATGATTCTTGATCAGGAGTAAGCCCTAAGCATGGGTTTTACCCCCCTCCCCAAAACTGAAAGTAAATAGAAGGTGGAGAGATAGTATAGGGGCTGAAATACTTGAATGGCAAGGACAGATTCCAGTTTTTGATTCCTGGCACCACAAATGGTCCTCAGAGCACCATCAGGAGTAAACCCTGACTGCAGAGCCAAGAACATTCCCTGATCACCACCGTGTGTGACCCCCAAAACAAAGTAAATATAAAATTGTGATACATCTTTTTATTCTGGAACATCTTGGGGACCACTGATCTAGAACAGTGGTTTAGACTTCATGTTGGTCCACAAGTGTAAAATGGTTGAAAACCACTGCTGTAGTCAAGACAGTAGGGAAACAAAGAGGTTTAAGCAGGGGAGCTATGTGGTATCATTTCAAAACAAAACAAAACAAAACCTCTTATGGTCAGTTTTGGATTAAAAGGCAAGTGAGAGTGGGAAAGTTAAGAAGAAATGACATTGATATAGACCAAAGAAGTGAAAATGGAGAAAAGTGAACATGTTTGAGTGAGATATTGTAGAGACATTTATAATATTCATGGATGGGTGGGTTGGCTTTGAGATATGACTAGTGTAGAAAATATTAGCATGAGTCAATATTTCTGTATAAGCTTAGCATAAATGAACACATAGAGTCTGAGAGACACTTGTCTTTTATTTTGTTTTTGGGGCCACACCCAGAAGTGCTCAGATCTTATTCCTTGCTCTATGCTCAGGGATTACTTTGGGGTGAGGGGGGGCTATGGGATTCTGGGGATGAAATTTAGGTTGGCAAGGCAAGCACTCTACCCGCTTTTCTATCTCTATCTTAGTCTGAGAGATACTTGGAAGTTAGAGTATGAGAGCTCTATAATAGAAGTTCAAAGCCACTGTGAGACAGGAGCAAAAGTTCCAGAAGTGAGGATCATCAGCCGAAGTAGGGCAATCTCCAGTTCTAATCTAATAGTAATATGATCTTGGGCTAGTCATTACATTATTTTTTCATAGCACAGCGGGTAGGGCGTTCGCCTTACAAGCGGCCAACATGGCCGACCAGAGTTCGATTCCTCTGCCCCTCTCGGAGAGCCCGGCAAGCTACCGAGAGTATTCGATATGCCAGACACAGTAACAACAAAGTCTCCAATGGAGACATTACTGGGCCTGCTCGAGTATTTTAATAATTTATTATAAATTAAGTAACATGGTTTCAGCAGTATTAACATTTGTAGTATTCTACAAAAATGACTGCACCACGTCACCAAATTGCTCACAATGCTCCACCACCGTTCCTCTAGTCCACCTCTTCAACCTCCTACACCCACCCTTCACTGCTCAGTAGTATTTCTTTTGTAATACAAGGCCAACGGTTTCTCATCATTTGTTACTGTCAATTCCCTTGTTACTGTGAATTCCCTTATTTTGTTTTTCTCTATACCAATAAGAAAGATCATATTTTATGTGTTAGTTTTTACACTTATAAAATCGAAATGAATAGCATCTACCTCAATGAAAATTAGCTAAGTTAATAATTGTAAAGTGTTTAGAACATGGTAAATAGTAAATCTTATCTAAGATAACTATCTATGATAATGTTAATTATCTAACAGTGTTATCTAAGATTTCTGCACAGCCACAGCAGAGCCTGGCAAGCTGCCTGTGGCATATTCAATATGCCAAAAATAGTAACAATAATGGGTCTCATTCCCCTGACCCTGAAAGAGCCAATACGGCAGCATTGGGAAAGAGGAGTATGGAGAGGCTGCTAAAATCTCAGGGCTGGGATGGATGGAGACATTACTGATGCCCGCTCAAGTAAATCAATGAACAATGGGATGACAGTGATACAGTGATCTACAATTATTTAATGTTTTGAATGAATGAATGTGTACCACCGACCTAACTTGTCCTCTTTGAATTTTTATATTTATTTGCTCCAAACTGAGTAATTGTTCCCAGTTCATACCCTCTGTCTTCCTATCTCTAGGCCTTCCTCATGAAATTTCATATTCTGGAATATCCTTATCATATGTACCATATCACATGTGCTTCAAGGTACACAGGGCATACTCACGCAGAAAGCATTCCCAATTTTATACTTCCTACCTTCTCAAGCCATAAACGAGCTTTACTCACTCTAGCTTCTAGAATACTGAAACTCATTATGCTGACTTGATACCATTCCATGTTTTGTTATTGACTGCTAGACTGTCTAGTCTGTCTTTGCCCAAAAGACATGCTCTATGTCAGATCCTCCACTAAACACTGCACCCAGCAGGAATCCAGCAAATTATCAGCGTTCAGAAAAATTGACTTAACTGGCATCTCTCAGGTGAAGCCCAAACTATTCAGTTAACATTTTAAATCTTTCCATTCAGTCCTTTCTAGTCTAATAGATTGAATTTCCCTTCCCTGCTCTATTCCTAACACTCTAAATTCCAGTAACACCTGCTTATTGCTGTTGATATATCTCAAGCTGCTTCTCACTCCAATTCTTGTCTTTTTTTGTGCTCTTCCATATGAATACCTCTTCTAAACACTCTTTTTCTCTTGGTCTAATACTACTCACTTTGTAGCTCTAACTGGAAAAACTGTATTGTGTTCATCAGGTTGGGTCAGGCCCCTCCTGTTGTGCACTGAACTTTCTAGAACTTTGATTTATTACTCTTTGTAGTCACTGTTAGTGTCCACTATGCTCCCCCTCCACACATGCAAAACTGAAGCCCTGAATGTCTGTGAACTTTTTAAAAATTTTTTTAATTTTTTATTTTTTTATTAGTGAAACACTATGAGGTACAGTTATAGACTTATAAAATTTTTGTGCTTGGGTTTCAGTTATACAATGATCAAGTACCCATCCCTCCACCAGTGCCCACTCTTTACAATAGCCAGAATCTGGAAAAAAACCTGAGTGCCCGAGAACAGATGACTGGTTAAAGAAACTTTGGTACATTTACACAATGGAGTACTATGTAGCTGTTAGAAAAGATGAAGTTATGAAATTTACATACAAGTGGTACTACATGGAAAGTATCATGTTAAGCAAAATGAGTCAGAAAGAGTGGGATAGACACAGAAAGATTGCATTCATCTGGGGAACATAAAGCAACAAAATGTGAACTTTTGTCATTCATTTATAAGCCTAGTACAGGGTCTGACACATAATAGATATTCAAAAAATATTTGAAACTTATGACTTCCATTATCTCAATTTCTTCAGACTCTGGGGTTGAAGGGAGGGAAAGTGCTATAGATATCCTATAATGAGGACTTACCCACAAAGTCTTCCATCATCAGAGGACTGTGGTGGGGGGAGGGTGCTAGGCGTAGCAGCTCCTCACCTCGAGGGACAGTTGGGTAGTTGATGGCCTGTACATAGATGCCATGCTTGGAAAGCAGGAGATCACAGACCTTGCTGTTGAGTGCTGCATCACCAACCTGGGCTCAGGAAAAAAAATCTTGTTATTTTCTGCCACCCTAGCCACAATTTTACTAGGTCCAATAAACAGGTGGAGAGAACTGGATGTAAGTACACCATTTAATTTAGGGATAGATTTTTTTCTGTAAGGAACCCAGTCAGAGGCAACTTTAGAATTTCAATAGTTTTCTTAGAAGTAGCAATCAAATTTGAAGGGGTAAGTTATAGATAGCATCAGGGACTTTGTCTTGAAGCTGTTTGCTTTAGAGCATGTACAGTGGTTTAAAGTGACTGATGTTGTTTGGGTGATTTTAGGCAATCCTTTTAGCAACTTCTGAGAGCTAATTTAAAACACTTTAAAAGCAATTGTTAAAGGAAATACTGGATTAGAAAAATAATGGTGACTTCTTATTCATAAAATGTCACAGAAAAGTATCATTCCCAAATCTAAATTTACAACATAGATACCATTTAAGAGGTAGGAGTTCACTTTTAAGAGGAATAAACACTTTAATGTACTTTGAAATCCAAAGTTTCAGCTAGTCCCATTCATTTTTTGAATTTTTGGGCTGCACCTGGCGGTGCTTAGGACTTACTCATAGCTGTGTTCAAGAATCAATTCTGGTGGTACTCGAGGGACTATATGTGATGCTGAGGATGGAACCAGGTTACCAGCATGAATAGGAAGTCCCATGACTTTTTAAAATAGAGCCCACTCCTGATAGTGCTCAGTCCCTGTAGTACCTGGCCAGATTGGAGGTGGTACACCTGGGCCTACTACTAGCAATGAACAGTGTACCATAAGGGGAGAAGTATCAGATTCAGACAACTTGCATTGGCCTCCAAGGTTTTTGATTTTATATTTTTGTAATTCACAAAAATAAGTTTTATAACATTATACACATTTACACGTATGCATGTGTGCATACATGTACATATACACAGACAAAAATGAAAGAACTATCTCATAAATTGTTACCGTTTACTGTTTTTGTTGTACACCAAAATCTGTGGTACATGGGAGGTGTTGATCCACAGTGTGTAAAATATCTGGTCTATTGTAAGCGTCAGGACAGTAAAATATGCATGAGAAAATGCCAAAAAGACAAGGCACAATAACTTACACTTTTTCAACAAGAGTAACAAAGCAGGTGTTAAGGGTTATAGTTAATAGGAAAGCAAAGAATTGATAACAAAACCAAGTGTTGGTCAGCTGAATGTGGGAAGAGATTAATGAAGAGGGTAATAGGCATGCTGAGACACTCACCCTGATAGGGATGATATGGCTGGGACAGGGAATGACAGGAAGGCCCCTGTCCATTAGTAGGTGGCGCATGTGCTTAACATTGCGCTGGTGAGCCCTCCTTAGGACTTGGCCCTCTTCTCCCTTGAGCAGCCTCACGGATTCCAGAGCCCCAGAAAGCACCATGGGGGGCAGTGAAGTGGTGAAGATGAACCCCGCGGCATAAGAGCGCACCATGTCCACCAAGTCATGGTTGCTGGCGATGTAGCCACCCACACAGCCAAAGGCCTTACCTGGAGAAAGGGAGGAGGATATGCAGACCTCATTATCAGTTCCCTGAAGAACAGAATCATGACTTAGCTTGAGGTATACCAGGAGCTCCAGACTCCATTCCCAAACCTCTACTCTTATCTCCTATTCACTGGCAATTCTGCTGCTTTGAGATAGAGCGTTCAAAACCTGCTAGAGGCAATGACTTGATAAGCAGCAATTTCGGTGGGAAATTTCAGTTGGTTAGGGCCAAAGGAGAAGGAGCTAAGATGAATCTTGGGACTGTTGTGTGGTATATATCCTATTTTTAAGGGGTTATAACCACAGCTCTCTAATTATTGAATTGGTTGTGACTGTTTGACTGAGTTCAGATGTCTTCTCATAATACCCCACCTGAGCCCAGAACTTCTCATCAATTCTGTAATTAAGTAAGACTGGAAGGAAGGAGCCCAGGTATTCACTGGCGCAGTTAATTCTGCCTAAACAACTCCTGCGGCTTTTGGAAAGAGAAAGATGAGTCTAGCAAAGGGGTTTTGGGTGGGCCAAGGCATTTACTCACCAAGAGTTCCAGAGATAATGTCAATCTTGTGCATAACTCCATCACGCTCTCCAATACCAGCTCCCCGGGTCCCATATAGTCCTACTGCATGAACCTCATCCACAAAGGTCAGAGCCCCATACTGGTGAGCCACATCACACAATTCCTCAAGGGGGCAGATAGCACCTGAGCAAAGCCAAGAATTAGGAGATGATTTCGTTCCAGCTGCATCTTCAGTTTGGAATTTATCACCCACAATTTTGGGTGGTAAATTAGTAGGGCGTACACCTCTAGCTTTACTCTAAATGTCTTTTTAAGTGGACTATGTTCACTCCACTAAAACTCAAATTATGTGTGTGTTATCCTTTGTATTTTAACATCATTCTCAAAATATTTGTTCTTTTTTCTTAGATATTCAACATCTCTCTGCTTTCTTTGCTTATTTTTCACCTATGTGTTTGTGGTTTTCCATGTCAGGTTGACACTAGCCTTATATGATGGCTTTGTTTAAATAAGTTTGAAAAGTCACTTTTTGATCCAGGTTAATACAGTACTGATTTCATATCTCATGCACCCCCTCATCCAGGTACTGTTGGCAGTCCTGTCAGTATTTTAACTCTTTACTGGCTCTCTTTCGCTCCCCTTCTTTCCTTGTATCTTTGTTTTTATGTCTTATTTTTTTCTTTGCCATTGTTTTTATCTTTTCCCTCGCCTTATGGTTTGACTTTCTCTTCTTCCTTCCATCCCTTACCTTCTTCCTTCATTTCTCCTCTTTTCTATTTGTTTACCTCTATATTTCTGCTTCAGACTTTCTTTGTATCATACCTTTATGAGTTTATTTGTGCTTCTCTTTGTCTTTTCAGTGTCTTTGTGTAAGTATATATCTTTATTAGTTTTGTTACCTGAGTATATACCCATAGGCACAATTCCAATCTGTTGAATTAGAGGGAATTGGAAGTTTCTCTTCATTTCCCATACAGATCCATAGATTTTCATATAAGTATAGACATTATTTTTGCTTATAGTTGCTTATAAAATTTTCAAATGACTGTGAATCTTACATAAACTTTGTTATCATTCTGTATATGTATGATCTCATACCATCTGGCATTCCCCATCACTGGAAACTGATAGTTAAAAAGAGTAAGTTGAATACAGAAGATGGATTATAGAAGAAAATTCTTTAGGTAGGAATAGGGACTCCAAGCCAGATTAAAGAATGAAAAAATGAACCTAGGGATACTTTAGTGGTAAAGTGTCTACCTTATAAGTGTGAAACCAGTATTTCAATCTCTGCCATCATCTCTGTGCCAAGGTTAATCTCAGTGAGATGTCATTTGTGGGGCTCTGGTGCCACAGCAAACTGTTGGGAGTCTCTGGCATACGATAAACAAGTGTGTGAGGGCCACAACGAACTGCATGACCTTTAGTCATTGCAGAAACCATAGAAACAGAAGAAAAAAATAGATACATTTAAAACAATATGGAAACACTGGTGTAGGGAAGTTGACACTGGTGGAAGAATTGATGTTGAATTATTTATGCCTAAAACTCAACTATTAATAACTTTGTAAATCATGGCTATTTGATAAAAAGAATAGTATAAGGGACTGGAGAGATGGTTACAGGGGTTAAGTGCATAATTTGCATGTGCTTGGCATACATTTTTATCCCCAACACTGCATATAGTCCCCTGTTCACCAAAGGAGTAATCTTTGAGCACAGGGTCAGGAGTAATCCCTGAATACCACATGGTGTAACCCCAAAACCAAAATATCAAAAGAGAATATAATGTGAGCAACTGGAGGAACAACATGAAACAAGCCAACCACTGGAGGTACACCCTGAGAAAGAAGAAAGTGAGAATCAGGATTTATAGTTTTGGTAGTTTCCATCAAAAATATAAGAAATAGTAATTTTTAAATGGAAGGATGTATAATGGTTCAAACATTGTTTCCACTAGAGAAATAATTACTTAGATTATTCTCAGAGACAGAAATATAATTATTGGATGGTTTGTTTTACTTTATTGCTAGTTATAGAAATGTAGGAGTGAAGTGCACATGGCAATAATTCCTTCATATTTATTAACTTATATACTCGAAGATACACTATTACTATCACTTCTATTTTTCAACTAAGGCTAAGACACAGCAATTAAGAAGGTGCATAATCCAGTAAGTTGCCATGCTGAAGTTTGAACATAGATGGTCTTGTTCCACTCTCCGTGCATCACCATTAAGTGATAGTGATGACAATTAAATCCTAGAAAATATGGAGATACTGTGTCCTCTTTGTTTTAGTTGACAAAGTGAGAATTTGAATCAAAGTCATTTCCTTTAAAAAATCCAGAATGTGATGTCTCAAACACATGATTCTTGCTAAATAAGGGCAATAACAAAATTATTTAGGCATTGTTTTAACTGGGAAAAGAACAAAGGTAAGAAGGTAAAGGTCATTTGTTGATATTAAGTTATGATTAATAAAATTACTTCCATTATCTATAATTATTACAACCAAATATTTTATCTTGGGGAAAACTAAGATCAGCGAATTACAAATTATTTAGTGACTCAGCAAATAGGTGTCAAGGTGGAACTTAAACCTAGGTCTGTCTGAAATGAAAACTTGTTTTCATAATGAATGTCAATCCTTCATACTGAACTTGTACTACCAGACAATGGTTTGTAAAATTTTCCATTGAAAAAAGCATATACTGTGATGATTTATATCTGCACATCATTTCTAATGGAGGGAATATCCTGTGAATGAATTGGAATAATGTTTTCTAGGACTCAAATAATCACTTTACCATCAATTTACTGAGCCATTCAAGAAAAATGTGTTTCCAACCGTTAGTTTTTAGTCTAAGATTAGTATTATTGTTGTATCTAACCTCAAGCATCTGCTGGCTGTGCAAATTGCTTCTCTGTGTTTTCATTTCTTCATATAAATAGAAATAATTGTAGATCCTACTTTGCAATTTTTTGTTAAGATTAAGCAGTACACGTGAAGATTAATATATGTAAATTAATAGTTTTTCTTTGCTTAGCACATAATACACATTTATATATGTTAGCCTTTCTAATTATCCTCATGGTTTTATGTGAGACCAACATTAATGAACGTACACTTACATATATACATACCATCCATAGAATGAACAGTTTCAAAGGCCACAATTTTAGGAGTCTTGGGGTTTGACTTCATTAGAAGTCTCTTAAGGTGATTAGGATCATTGTGTCTGAAGACAAATTTGACTGCTCCACTGTTGCGGATACCCTGGATCATTGAAGCATGATTGCCTGCATCTGAGTAAATCTCACATCCTGAGAAAGCAGATATATAATTCTTTTTAAGATTCTGTCATAGTCCTCCCGTTGTTCATCGATTTGTTCGAGCGGGCCCAGTAACCTTTCCATTTTTGAGGCTTGTTGTTACTGTGTTTGGCATATTGAATAAGTCACAGGTAGCTTGCCAGGCTTTGCCATGCAGGCGAGATTCTCTTGGTAGCTTGCCAGGCTCTCCAAGAAGGGCGGAGAAATCGAACCCGGCTTGGCCAGGCTGGCTGTGTGTAAGGCAAATGCCCTACCGCTGTTCTATAGTACTCCCACTTAAATCTCAAGACTGACTTAACAGGGACAATCAATCAACCCTCGCCTCCCTCTGAAGACACTGTTTTGTTTTTCTTTCTTCCCAAAGCCGTTATGACACTCTCCTCCCTTGGAAGAACTCACCATGCCTTCTCATTAACATTTACCTCTAGTTCTTTTTAACTGTGGTCTTGATACTACAATCTTAAAGTGATTTTAAAAGAGTTGGGAGCTTCCATTCTGTTTTGAGGACTGCTGTTTGTGGTACTCAGTCATTGGAGTAGGGGATTCGATGCTAGGGATAGAGGATGTGGTGTTCTCAGGTTCTGCAGTGTTTGGGACCACCAGGGCCACTCAGTTGATGCTTGAGGGCATCCAAGGATACATACGGGGCCATATGGCCCTTTCATGTACTCTGACTATTGTACTTCTCCAAGTTTATAGTTCTAGCCTCAATATTTATAATAATTTCATAGTTAGAATTGTAAACTCAAGGCTTCTAACTCTAACTCTCAGAACCAGAAAGAACTTTAGTAACCATGGATTCCAAACCATTTATTATATAACTGATGATACTAAAATGTCTAAAGATTTTCTAGGACTTGAGAAATGTGGTGTTTTTGTTTTAGTTTTGCTTTCTGAACTATACCTGGTTGTATTCAGGGCTTACTCCTCACCTTGCACTCAGAGATCACTCCTTGCAGGGCTCAGAGAAGCATACATAGTACCAGGAATCAAACCCAGATTGACATCATTCAAGGCAACCACCTTACCTACTGTACTATAACTCTATTCCTGCAGGGTTTTGTTAACTGAACAATACTGAGAGCACAGATGGACAGAATCGATTGTTTACTATTTACTATTTGCCATGTTCTAAACACATTACATTTATTAACTCATCTAATTTTCATTGGGGTAAATGCTATTCTTAGCATTTCCATTTTATAAGTGTAATAATTAAAGACATAAAAATACGATTTTTCTTATGGGTATAGAGAAAAAATAAGGGAATTGATAGTAGCAACCCGCTTGAGCAAATCGACGATCAACGAGATGACAAGTGATACAAGTGATACAGTGATAGTAACAAATGATGAGAAACCACTGGCTTTGTATTACAAAAGTAATTACCAAGCAGTGAAGAAAAGGGTCAGGGTGGGAGTTTGAAAAGGTGGACTAGAGGAACAGTGGTAGAGGGTCATGAGTAATTTGATGATGTGGTGCAGTAATTTTTGTACATTTCCTACTAGTGGCCATGAATTTGTAGTGTCTCTCAGCCACACAATTGTATAAAACTAGGATTGACAAAGAGGAAAAAGGGAACGTTATATTGATCTGGGTTTGGAGATATGATAGAAGGATACACATATGAGTTGTAGACGTTATTGCCTAGCAAGTGAGATAGTAGAGATAGTGTCTAGAGTACAATTAAAAGGATTGATTATCCTTAGTAGGAGAGATGTATCTTCAATTGTAAAATGGAAGAATTGAAAGAAGGGTAGATGAAGCATCAGATAACTTTGTAGGTTTAATAAGTAACAGATTCTGTCTGGTGTCTTCTGTTTTGTGATGTAAAATGTGAAGTTATTTGCTAAGAGTGAAGAGGAAGTTGATATTTTAGAAAGGAGAAGGAAGCTTGTAAAAGTTACTGTGGAGCAAATTTAAATTCAGAAATATTTATATAAAAGAAAACTTTACCAAGCTGCTATGAACTAATACTTTTCCTGCCAAAGTTCTTGTCTTTTTTCATGTTCATATATGACAATATCTAGAAATCTATACAAAATCATTTGAAAAGCTGTTGTCGTGTGTTGTCCTTAAAAGCCTAATTTTTTTTGTTATATTGTTAAAACTTGGTCTCAGCTTTCAAATACTCTTTCAGTTTCTTGTCTGAATTGTTAAAAGTTACTCATTTATAAACACTAACTACTGTCATTTGTCATTTTTCTTTTTATTCATCCAAATGTGTTTTTTCTCTTATGTATTATAAAATATATTTTGTGATCTTACCCAAATAAATAATTATGATTGTAAAAAAAAAGTTACTGTGGGGCTATAAAAGTGTTACGAACACAATTGAATTAAAAGGTTACAAAGGGACCAGAATGACAATAGTACTGTCCTGTCCTGTAGCACTGTCTTCCCATTGTTCATCGATTTGCTCTAGCAGGCACCAGTAACGTCTCCATTGTGAGACTCGTCGTTACTGTTTTTGGCATATCGAATATGCCATGGGGAGCTTGCCAGGCTCTGCCGTACAGGCGGGCTACTCTCAGTAGCTTGTCGGGCTCTCTGAGAGTGATGGAGGAATCAAACCTGGGTCGGCCACATGCAAGGCAAATGCCCTACCTGCTGTGCTATCGCTCCAGCCCAGAATGACAATAATAGCTGGAATTATGCTGGACAAAAACTGAGTGTTAAAAGTAGATAAAGAGCTATACCTGATAACCTGTCAGTATCTGTATTATAAACCACAATGCTCAAAAGGGGAGAGGAAGAGAGAGAGAGAGAGAGATAAAGAGAGAGAGAGAGAGAGAGAGAGAGAGAGAGAGAGAGAGAGAGAGAGAGAGAGAGAGAAGAAGTGCACTTGTTATAGAGGCAGACTGGGTGGGGGTGATGGGAGGGAAACTGCGGACAGTGGTGGTGGGAAATGTACACCGGTGGAGAAATGGGTATTGAAACACTATGACTGAAACCTAATCATGAAGAGCTTTGTAAGGACCCATCTCACAGTGATTTAATAAAAAAAAATTAAAAGTTTACAAATTTAGTGTGACCACTCTGTAAGGTTGGACAAGTTCCTCAGTAGAGATATTTTGTTTGTTTTGGGGCCACACCTGGCGATGATTAAGACTGCACTCAGGAACTACTTCTGGCAGTGCTCAGGTGATCATATGGGATGCTGGGAATAAAACTTGGGTCAGCTGCATGCAAGGCAAACACCCTACACACTGTACTATCTCTCCGGCTCCTTCAGAGATTTTTTTATGTAAATAAGAAGAAATAGCAGAGGGTTATAAACATCTAGTATTAGAAGAAATGAAAGATTAGTAAAAAGGAAAATTAGTGAGACAGTGAAATCAGAATAGAAGGAAAGACTTATGGAGTCAGTTAGATTTTTGGCTACATGTGGGATACCAGTCCTGAACAAAGCTTGGGCCTGAGGCTTACCTGGCAGTATCTTGGCCAAAGTGAAGAGAGTAGAGTCATTGGCCACAAAACATGAAGAGAAAAGCAGGGCTGAGTCCTTCTGGTGTAGCTCAGCCAGTTCCTGCTCTAGCTCCACATGAAACTTACTGGTACCTGAGATGTTGCGTGTGCCACCAGCCCCAACTCCATGACGCTGCAGGGTCTCCCTGACCAGGAAAAATATGAGATATGAAAAAGCTTAGACATGGAGGAACTGAGTAGATAAGTTTTTATTCCTTAATGAGGGTTGATGTTGACCCCCATTAATGAAAAAAAATGGGGGTTAATACTTTATGAATGCTGTCCAATGTGACCAACAGCAGAGCAGCATGGAAAGGATGAAGGAACATTTACCCTCCTTCTCAAACTGAAGCACAGATGGAGGGTGAAGCTAGGTCAAACTTGAGCTGCTTCATAGAAAATCTAGAGGAAGTGCCACACCATATCTAACAATATTCATTCAAATGGATATTTGCATTCAGAGTAAATAAGAGCTTATTGAGGGTGAGCCTTTCCCAGTCTCCTATTCTCTCCTCCCTGCATAGTACTAGACATTCAGGTGTCTGGAAAACATAGCTTGTTGGCTAACTTTGGATAAAATTATGATAGAGTGCCTTGAAAAAAAGAATGTGGTTTGAACCCAGCTTTCCACTGCTAGTTCTGCCTTTTCCTTCTCTTTGTGGCTTTGTCTTTTCTCTGAATGTGTTTCCACACACAGCTCAGGATTCAGACCCTACTACTTACTGTGTGGCTCTCAATACCCTAGGGTGTCGGCTCATGCCCAGGTAGTCATTACTGCACCAGACAGATACATCTTTTGAAGCTGCAGCTGCCTCAGAGAAATGCTGAGCAAAGGGGTAAGCATCAGCCCAGCGGTTCACGGTCTTGAATATACGGTAGGTATGGTCTTGTTTCTTCTCCATGATCTTGTCCCTGAAAAACTGGTCATAACCAAAGACATGATTTCCTGCAGGAGTGGAGATGAAGATAAAATAATTTATTTTAAATTGCTAGTGTATATTTTATTTATGTTGTTGAGTTCTTCAATTTTCTTTCAATTTATTCATTTATTTGATGCACTGCTAATTCTCCACTGCTTCAATATCCCCTTTTATTACTCATTTGTGCATTCACTCAGTAATTTATTAATACATTCACTCAGTCTTCCTAACCCTGGTATAATTTCCACTTATCTTCTTTTGGTTAGTATAGCAGCTTCCTTATTAAAATTACTATTTTTGGTTTCAGTGGGAAGTTTCAACTTTTTATATCTACTTGCTTTACCACTTCTTAGTTGGATGAACTTGAGCAAGTTATGAATCCTTTCTTTTTGTTTCAATTTCTATAGCTATAGGCCCTCCCGTTGATCGTCGATTTGCTCTAGCGGGCCCAGTAACGTCTCCATTGGAGACTTTGTTGTTACTGTGTTTGGCATATCGAATACTCTTCCTTGTGAAAATTATGAGCATCTGGTGACAGAGAAAAGGTAACACACCCAAAGTAATGTATGTTATATGCTATTAGTAGAAGAATTATGATTATGGTAATCATAGAAGTAATAATAGTAGTAATAATGCATAATATTTGTTGTTATAGCTAACATTTCATGAGTGTCTATTACATGTATTTTCCTTTCTTAGAAACTTTTAAAATATTATGTAATCATCACAGGAATTTTATGTGGACAGTTGTCTTAGTATCGCTGTGATATAGATGAGGAAAATGGGACATACAGGGCTTTGGTAAATTGACCAAGGTCATATATCAAGTATGTAGCCTACAAGTAAGTAATCTAAAGTACACTTCTTTATTCACTAACACTGAAAAATGGAGTAACATGTTTTCAGGATAAATTGAAAAACTGTAGCGCAAAAGGTTGTTAAACTCAAAAATTCTATACATGAAACAAATTAGGATTATTACAGATGAAAATTTATGTGGTAAATAGCAAATTTGTAACCTCTTATGCTGCAAACATATTTGTGAATATGTATCAAGAGTTTGTTGAAATTTATATATTAATATAATAGAGAAATATTTGCAGATATTCAACAAAATATTAATAGTGAGGATTTATTTTATATATTTATAAACAACCCTGAAAATTTAATGTGAAAACACTTTTAACCCAGTAAAATGAACAAAGAATGTTAAATATAGTTCAGTGAATAAAATTAAAATAAAATTAAAATAAAATATGCTTAATCAGAAAAAATCAAACTGCAAAATTTTTTTATCAAATTAATAAAATTTGATAAGTATTTTATCATATAATATTTGATATTATACAAGGTATACAAATACTAATACAGCTATTAAAATTGGTACAACCACCTTAGATAACTAATTGTAAATATTAATGTTGAAAGTATATGTCTCTTGTACATGGGGATTTTTATTTCTCAGTATCTATCTAGGGAAACAGTTACCTGTGTAATGAGGGGTCTATTTAAGGATATCTATTTGCAATAGGAAAATTTGCAAGCAACTTTATACAGGATTAGATGAACAGTCATAGTATATCCATACTAATATTAAAGCAAACTGTTTTTCTGCCTGTACTCAGAATGCAGATCTAAGGGGAGGTTAATGGGATGGCCCTGTGAGGACGGGAAAGAATGGGTCTGCGTATTCACAACATGCCACAGTGTGTGTTGAAGCAAGAATAATCAGTAAAGATACCTTGTTTTTAATGTGGTCGTGACTTAAATGTGTTGCTGGCCAATGACATGAATGTTTATCGTAAGGTCAGGATTGGTTTGCTGAATTTGGAGAGTGGCCGATGGTAACTAATAGGCCTTTCTTACATCTCACTGGGCAAGCAGTGTAGCGACCTAGGCACTCCAAGTACAAGACCTCATTTGAATCTTACTTTGGGGCTGTTCTCCTCTTTATAGCTGAGGAAACAGACTTAAAACCTTAATTGGTCAAGGTCATGTAAGTAGTAATTGATAGGGATTTGAGTCAAGATTTGTAAAGCTGCATTATTTCTTGGACTATTTTTCAAAATTTTATTGCTCAAGTATGTGACAACTCCAAAGTTTATATGATAATTTTCAGAAAGCTGACAGTTTTACTTAAGGCAGATCAGATTATGGAAAGAAATGGTTTCAGGTATTAATGATAATTACACGTCTTGATCAGAGGTTTTCCTAAGGGTTGCCTGAATAGAAACCTTAGGGTTCCTGTAAAAGAACACAGATCCCACTGGAGAGCAGATGGGTTTTAATTTCTGCTTCCTCTTAGGAATGATTAACTGCAGGCAAATTAGCATTTGGCCACTCAAAACTTAAATCAGGTTTCAAAATTCTCTTGGATCTTACTACTCACGTTTGTTATATGCCAAGCAAATAGGATTAAAAATTTCCCTATAAAGCCAGAGTAAATTGTGTTGTGTTAAATAATCATGATTCCATGTGTTGAAATTTTGGGGGCATGAAAGTGCTCTGTTCCCTCACCAAAGAAATTATGTTGACACTTTTAGAGACTGCCACTTACTAGAAAGAAAAAGACTTACTTGTCATTGTTTTGTAGCCAACATTCCAAATTGTGAAAAAATATACCTTGAACCACTCTGCTACTTTATTGTCCAGGGTCTAGGAATTACCAGGGAGCTTTATTAGAATCTGGCTGGAGCGATAGCACAGCAGGTAGGGCGTTTGCCTTACACGTGGCCGACCCAGGTTTGATTCCTTCGTCCCTTTTGGAGAACCCAGCAAGCTACCGAGAATATCCCACCCACACGGCAGAGCCTGACAAACTCCCTGTGGCATATTCGATATGCCAAAAACAGTAACAACAAGTCTCACAACGGAGAGAGTTACTGGTACCAGTTCGAGCAAATTGATGAACAACGGAGGACAGTGCTACAGTGCTTCTTGTGACATGTATATGCTTATGTAAAATCAACAAACACTATAAACTGGAAGAAAACACATACACACTGGAAACTATGTCCTGGATTATAGGTTCTTGATTAGTCAACTGATATTGCATCTACATTACAGAACATAGTTCAACTATTAATATTATCAGACATTTATGTTTAGGGACAATGAGTGATATCAATGAGGTATTAAGTGAACAAGGCAAAATTATAAACTCCAGATAGAATGAAATCACATTTACAATAAAAACATGTTTATGGAGGAGAGTGGAGAAGTGAATTTGTGAATGTGCATGCATGCCTGTGCATGTCTGTATCAGAGGAGAATATCTTGAATAAAATTCTATTTCCTTTCAGTGCTGAATGTTGGACCTTTGAGTTATTTAAATTTACTCTATCTTTTCCTATATCTATTGAAAAATATGTTGCAGTCATCTTTCTTTTATAATACGAGCATAAAACAAATTTTATAATGCAAAATGAATGTAAGCACATAAAAGAGAGAAGAAAAGGCTGTTTATTAAGAATAAGAATTTTGGTTTGTATTACAAGTACTAAGCAGCCATCATGTTTGGTCGATAATCTCCTTTCAGCATGCATTTACTGCCTCGAGCAAGCCATCCAGCCATCATTTACTTAGTGGTCCCTTCTCTATCCTAGCTTCCTTTCCCCCCCAGCACATGAGATCAGATTCCAAGCCGCAGAGTGATCCGCCTGGCCCTTATCTCTTCTATCCTTAAGTGTTAGTCTCCTATTATGTTACTTTATATTCCACATTTGAGGGCAGTCATTCTATGTTTGTCTCTCTCTTTCTGACCATAATACTGAGAAGGAGAGAGAGTTAGAGGGAATGTGCCTGCCAAAGAGACAGTGGGGGGAAAGGGTCGGGTTGGCGGGAGGGATACTGGAAACACTGGTGATGGAGAATGGTCACGGGTGGAGGGACTGATACTTGAACATCGTATGACCGAAACGTAATCATGCAAGTTTGTAGGTCTGTATCTCACGGTGATTAATTAAAATAAAAATAAACAACACTACACTATTGTCCTTCCATCGTTCATCGGTTTTTGCTCGAGCGGGCCCAGTAACATCTCAATTTTGAGACTTGTTGTTACTGTGTTTGACATATATTGAATACATCATGGGGAGCTTGCCAGGCTTTGCCATGTGGGCGAGATACTCTCGGTAGCTTGCTGGGCTCTCCAAGAGGGGCAGAGGAATTGAACCCGGCTTGGCCGGGCTGGCTGCGCACAAGGCAAACGCCCTACCACTGTGCTATCGCTCCAACCCAAAATAAAAATAAATAAATAAATAAATAAATAAATAAATAAATAAAAGAATAATAATTTTAAGTGATGCATGGAGAAGAAATAATAGGGAAATAATGTTTAATGAGTGCTCTTTAGCAAGGTAGAAATGCTTCTATAAATATAATTTCCTCTTTATGATAACCTGTTGAGGTAGGTGTTAAAATTTCATTGAAGATTTCTCATTGAATAAAAGTTCATTTTCATTTTAGTAAATTACTTGCTAAAGCACTCAGATCCAGCAAGTACAAGCATTAAAATTCTAAGAATCCTTTAGGTTTCGAAGTTCTTTCTTTCTGTTTCCTCTACTCTGTTAGTACCCTTCAGTATTATATTTCTAACTCTTTTATTTAGGCCTCAGCAAACTCACTGGTCATATTATTCTGAGTCATGTACAACCTTCTCTGACATCTGCTCTAGGTTCTAGAGAATGACTTTCAGAGAGTGGTTGAGACCTGCTCCAGACTGAGAGACTTTGGCATTCATTGACCATGATGATAAGAGAGGAAAAGGGAAGTATGTGGAAATCCTCTTTATGAAACATATGAACAGTTAAATTTATAAACAGGAAGTCCTTCGGCAGAGAGAAAGTGAGCCCCTCCTCATCTCCCCAAGTGGAAACTACTGTGTCAAAAAACCTAAGAAAGCTAAAAATATTTCTCTCGTTTGGAAACATTAACTGAGCAGCCACCTTAGATTTTTCACATGAAAGGTAAATACAGTCTAACATTTCTTTTCTAAATGCCATTAAAATTAAATTTAAAAATTACCCTTAATAATTAACCTAAAAGGCTGTGAATGATGTCAACAGGCCATCTCTCAGAGCTTGAGTGCTATGTACCGTTTGAGTTGACCTAGCCTTCTATTTTTTTATTTTATTGAATCACTGTGAGATATAGTTACAAGCCTTCGTGTTTGAGTTACAATCACACAGTGATCAAACACCCATCCCTCCACCAGTGTACATTCCCCACCACCAATATCCCCAATATACCCCCTTTTCCCACACTCCCACTGCCTCCATGGCAGACAATATTCTCCATGCTCTCTCTCTACTTTTGGACATTGTGGTTTGTAATACAGATACTGAGAGGTTATCATGTTTGGTCTTTTATCTGTAGTCTACCCTTCTAAAGAAGGACCTACTTCCAACACTTCCCCTTTCATGAAAATCCAGGTTGTCATAGAATGCTATTGCTTAAATGTGGCAGTTTAGCCTATTAAAGCCCATTTAATAAAGGTATAGAGGAAGAACTACTTTATTTTGTTTTGTTTGGGATCCACAACCAGTAGTGTTTGGGGACTGCTCTTGAGTTGGTGCTCAGGGTATGCTTCCACAGGTCCTTGGGAGCAATTGCATGTGATGCTTCAGATCAAACACAGGCATCAGATCAAACACAGGCATCCCATATGCAAAGCATATGTGTGCTCAACCTGGTGAACTATCTCTCCAGCTCAGCAGAGGCTGGAAAACCACCAGAAACCACTGAGTAGTATCTAAAATAAATTATTTTAGCGTAATAGCCAAACATTATAGAAGCCTGTTCACATGCACATGTGTTCATATATGCGTGTGTGTGTTGCATTTAAGGGAAGTTTTAGCTACAGTTTAACATTATTTGTATAGGAATGAATTGACTTTGCAGCAATGGATATGTGAAATGTGTACAGTTGCTCTTGGATTAGCCTTGCTAATGATTATGATGGTGAAATAGTTTCAAGCATTAGGAGTAGGGGTAGGGTGAGGTGGACCCTAATTCCAACCTGTCTTGAAAGTCTTCACATCTTCCTGGACTTCTGGGGGTGCCTTCTGCACAATCTTGCTCTTCCCATCCTGTAGTTCCGTCAACATGAAGGGACAGTGACTCTTCGCCCATGATGCAGAGTCTATACAAAGATGATAGGATGAGTGGCAGTGCATTGATAAAGTTTATTTTAACAATGAGTAGTGAGACCTACTCTGTCCCAAAACTCTATCTCGGACCATGGTAATAACATGAAGTACCTGCATTAGGGAAGTGCTTAAGCTTGTGGTATTAGCATACAGTGAAGATTTATAATGAACAGTTGTAGGATGGAAGAGAACACATAAACTATGGAAGACTAGAAAATGGAAGAGACATGATCCAGTATTGGAATTGGACAGGTTAACTGTTTGGGTTTGGCATTTTGCTTTGGGGGACAACCTGACAATATTTAGAGGTTACTCCTGGCTTTGCACTCACGAACTACTTACTCCCGATGGTGTTTGGGGGAGACATATGGGATGTTGGGGATCAAACTCAGGTTGGATGCATGTAAAGCAAGCAGCCTACCCTATGTATTATTGCTCCAGGCCCAAGATTAGAGGTTAGAAAGGTTTTGCAAAGGATATGATGCCTAAGTTAAGTGTTGAATGAGAAGTATGAGATACTCTGGTAAAAAAGTATGTGAGAGAACCATTTGACAGAATCAAAAGCACAATGCTTGAGACAGTAGACTTGATCCAGGTAATGTTAAATTGTTTCAGCACTAAATGAATTATACAGTGTGAGGGACTAGAAAATGAAACTCTAGCAAAACTCAGATTCCAGGTATATTTAGGGCCCTGCTCAGTCTGTGTTGATACTCTTTACATGAAGGTGCACAGTTATTAGGGAATGATGGTCACTATTACCTGAAACATTGTCTAGGACCTTGATATTCTCTATTTTCCAGTAGCCTCTTACCTCCTCCAGCCTTGGTTACATCCAGATGTATTTGAGAACAGGTTGGTCTTTGAATGGCCAGAATAGGACAGTGTCCAATATTAAATAGGAACTGGTGAACCTTAATCATCTTCCCTCGAAGGCCTGTGGTACCCTGAACAAGTGGTGGACAGCACTGTAGCAACATAGCTGCTGTTACCATGTTGAGCCCAAAGTCCTGCAGAAGATGTGAAAGAGAATTTCATCATGATATCATTGACGTCAAGGGTCATTCCTGTGATCTTTAGCCTTTGATTTTAACCCAGTGTTTGCTTCTCTCCAATAGATATCCTTATTGTCCTTGTAGGATAAATATTTTTCCAGTGATTAAATATATCTATCAGGCTTCAGGGAAAATCAAACAGTAAACTGACCATTAGGCAAAGGAGTGAGAAAAGGAGTTCCAACTCGAGGAGAGAAAGCATGAATTCTTGTTCAAACTCCTCCACTGGCCTAGTCTGTGATGATCAGGATCATTGAGACGTGATTATTTGTGGCAATATTAGAAATGATAATACCTAAAACCAATACCATTTCTAAGAATATTTGCCTCAGATAAGAGAATATTCGTTGTGTTAACTCAAACAGATTCAGTGTTTCTTCAGAACAGAAGAGTTTAAGGTCACAGGTACAAGCTTAAGTAGACTCAGAGACTATCACTAAAGTACAGAACCATTTGCCACGGGGTGGCAGTTTGTTTTCTTTGAATTTGATGGTGAATTTTTGAAAAACACAGAAGGATGTAAACGTAAAACTCAAGGAACTGGAAAACAAGATGAATGAAAGAGGCAGAGGCTAATCAGAGAAACGGGGGCAAGCAACGTCTGAGCATCTCTGTGTGTGACTCAAAAAGCAAAAAGATGAAAACAAACACTCCTGTGCCCGCACCCCAGCCAGTCCTTCAAACCCAAAGACTCCTAGCCTCCCGGACCGCCATCCTGCAGGCCCCCATGCCCATCCTGTCGTCCAGAGCTGGCTCTGGCTTGCTTCCTCTCCCAGGTGGGTGACCCCCAGCTGACACCCTATCTAGAGCGCGTCAGGAGGCACGGAAAACTTATCAGGAGGCATGGTCTCCATGATAGTGGGCGTGGTCTGGAGGCAGCGGTCTTATTTTCCCCATTCCCAGCACTTTGGAGTCACATCTCAATATTCATCACTTAATTCTGTGAAGAACATCCTAGCTATCTCGAACAAAATAGTCCACTAGGCCACTAATCTATTGTAATTACACCATAATACTGGTGAACACAAGAATCTGTTTAAGCCCAGTATAAAAGATCACATCCTTCGAAGCATCAATAGAGGCCTCACATAAGTCACAGAGGAATGCCTGAAAGGAAGGACGTATTCTAGAAGGGGAAAAAGGTGACCACCATCGACCAAGCTCATCCAGAATCCTTTCTAATAGCAAGAGGGAATAGTGATAATGAACTGGAAGTTCCCACCTCCATACAACCACCACAACAAGAAGAAACAGCATAAATCCCCATCATGAGGAGAGGATGAAGAAAAAAGTACAGAAACATCCATAGGCATTATCAACAAATATGATCTCTCCAATAAAGAATTAAGAGATAAAATGTTGAAGATGTTCAAAGAACCGAAAGAAACAGTGGAACAGGCATATAGTAAATTAAAGTGTAGGATAACACTGGGTTTGTCCTTTCAGTCTTGCCGCAGAGAACTTAGTTTGCGTTAAAGCAATGTCCTTTCTGTCTGGACATAGGAAGACAGATAATATTATGCTCTTGTAACTTGCGAGTTGATTGATTCTGAATAATATTTACTCCTGGGCATCTGCTTTCTCAACTGAGTTGCCCTTAGTTCCTAGCACCCCAAAAGCAGGGTCCCAGTGAGTAACTGAATGGACTCAGGGCAAGCTGTGAGCTACCCTGGCATTAAAATGGGCCAGAACAAAGCGCAGCAATAATCAACTATAAGTTGAGAGCATGATCATGGACAAATGCTGTTCATGATCCAAAAGTAACGACGAGATAAGAACCTGCTGGGGTTAGGAAGACTAACCTGGCCTGAGCACTGTGGTCTGGGATATATAGAGATGTCCTCAGGAAGAACCAAACTTTAAGTTTGATATATCTCTTACTGTGCTCATAAAGAACAACATTGATAGAAATATTAGAAGTAGATTTACTACAACTAATTAAGAGGATTACTAGCTGAGGAAAGAAGAAAGCAACACACCTTGGATGGGATCCCGCCCTTAAGCAGATCTCCTAGTAATCTGTAATAATCTCCTTAGATAATATTTTGTCTTTGAGTTAATCTCCTGGAGGAGTGGTCTTACCCCTCTTTGTTGATTTGTTCAACCCACCTTTATATCACCACCCTATGTGATTGCTATATAAACTAAGACTGTAAGATTGGAGGGGACAGAGTCAGAATCCAGAGTGAGAAAGAAGGGCTCCAGAGAGAGAAGCAGAAGGGCTCCAGAGAGAGAGTGATCGGAAGAGACCAGAGGAGAGACTACAGAGACAGAGTCAGAAATAGAACAACAAACAGCAGAGAGCACAGCGGCACACACAGAAGAAGAGCACAAAGGAGGAGCCATGCAGATCCGTTCTATACACAGCGGCTCGAGAGCACTGAACGTGGGTGGCGAGAGAGACCCGTCCAGAAAGCCTGCCAACACACACATCATCGTCATCCCTTCTCTGCACATGTGTAAATATTTTTACATTAAAGGAGGACATAAAAGAAACAATGGAATGGACAGCTGAGAAAATACAGGAAGAAATGAGAGCAGAAATAAAAAAAAAACACTACAAACAGAAGTGTCACTAATAAAGGAATCAGTAGATGAAATTTAAAAAAAAAACTCAGCGGGTGCCCTCAACAGTAGAATGGTTACAGCCTAAGAAAGAATCATTGAGCTTGAAGATGAGCTTAAGGAAGCTTACAGGCAACAACAAAGAATAGGAAAAGAACTCAAAATAGCTATAGGGCAAGAGACCTAGGAGATGATTCCAAGAGGAACAGCATTTGAATCAATGGAGTACCAGAAGGACAAGGAGGCAACTCCAATGAAAAAGCTACAATTAAAGATATCATTGCTGAAAAGTGCCCAGAGCTGGAAAATGCAGATCCAAGGAGCCCGAAGGTGCCAGCTAAAAGAGACCCTAATAAAAAGATTCCGAGACATATCATAGTCAGAATGATGGACGCCACGGATCGAGACACAATACTGCAAGTAGCAAGGTCAAAGAAGGAAATTACAAACAAAGGAGAACCGCTTAGATGTGTAGCAGAACTATCAGAGAAAACCCTCCAAGCCCGAAAACAATGGTGGGATATAGTGAAAAAACTCAATGAGATGAATGCCTCACCAAGAACTTTTTATCCAGCTAAACTCTCACTCAAACTCGAAGCAACGATACACTATTCTATGCGTAACCAACAGCTCAGGAACTTCATAGACTCAAAACCAAATCTAAAAGAAGGACTAAAGGGGCTACCGTAGGACAAGGAAAACCCTACAAGCACAAAAAAAACCCAAGAGAAAGATGGCACAAAACTCCATGCAATAATCTCTCTTAATGTCAATAGTCTAAATGCAACAATTAAGAGACACAGAGTGGCAAAATGGATTCGGAGACAGAACCCAACATTCTGCTGCTTACAAGAAATGCCTCTAACAGTCAGAACAAACACAGACTCAAAGTCAAAGGATGGAAAATAAAAACCTGCAAGAAAACAACTACCTCAAAAAAGCCGAGATGTCCTTACTGGTATCCAACAACATAGATTTCTGGTTTAAAAATATTAGAAGGGACAGCTAAGGCCATTTTTTAAAAAATCAAGGCATCTGAACAGCAGGAAGAATTTACACTCCTAAACGTATATGCACCCAATGAGGAACCAGCCAAATACCTACAATAACTGCTAACAGACCTTAAGAAAGACATTGTGAGCAACACAATAGTAGTTGGAGACTTCACCACCACCTTATCACCTCTGGATAGATCAACAAGATTAAAACTCAGCAAGAAAACACTGGCTTTGAAGGAAGAAATAAGAGAGGGCTAATAGATCTATACAGGGCTTTACATCCCCTCCAAAAATGATACACATTCTTTTCCAGATCACATGGAATATTTTCTAGAATAGACCACGTGCTGGGCCACAAAACATACCTCAATAGAATTAGGAAGATACATAATGCATCAACTATCTTTTCAGACCATGATGCACTGAAGATAGACGTTAATCACGCACAGACGCAGAGAACCAAATCAAACATCTGGAAATTAAACAACTCAATGTTGAACAATGAGTGCGTCAACAAGAAAATCAAGGAAGAAATCAAACAATACTTGGAAACAAATGAGAATGAAGACACGAGCTACCAGAACCTGTGGGATGCAGCTAAAGCCATGTAAAGGCGAAAATTTATAGCTCTGCAAGCATTTGTCAGGAAGAAGATAGGGCCCACATAAATAACTTGACTTCACAGCTAAAGATCTTAGAAAAGGACCAACAAAAGGAGCCCAAGCCGGTCAGAATGAAAGAAATAATAAAACTTAGAGCATAAATCAACAATATAGAAACCAAAAAACAGTCCTAAACATCAATGAAACCAAGAGCTGGTTCTTCAAGATTAAACAAAATAAACAAGATTAATAAACCACTAGCAAGACTCACAAAGAAAGAGAGAGAGAGAACAGTAATAAACCGAATCAGAAATTAAATGGGGGACATAACAACAGAAACCAAAGAACTTAAAAAGATTATCAGAGACTACTTTGAAAGTCTGCATGCCACCAAACAAGAGAACCTAGAAGAAATGTATAAATTTCTGGATTCGTATAATCTTCCAAGTTAAACCAAGATTATCTGCAATACCCAAATAGATCTATTCCTATCAAGGAAATTGAAACTGTATTAAAAGTCTTCCCAAAAACAAAAGCCCAGGTTCAGATGGATTCACTAGCGAATTTTTCCAAACATTTAAAGAGACCTATTGCCAGTTCTTCTCAAGCTTTTCCAGAAAATTGAAGAAACAGAAACTCTCCGAAACAGTTTCTATGAGGCACATATCTCACTAATACCAAAAGCAAACAGAGACACCACACATACACACACACACACACACACACACACACACACACACCAAAGAAAACTACAGGCCGATATCCCTGATGAACATGGATGCGAAGATAC